GGCCCTCGCGTGACCTGACCACCGACTCTATCGACACGGAGATGACGAGAGCTCGCTTGCTAAGGAAAGTCAGGCCCAGGATTTTGTGATCGCTTGGATTTTGCGCCTATATTTCGCGTCATTGATGTGGCGTGGCGTGCTTTGCGATATATCGATCGTTATACCATTTAAACCTATGGAAAAGGATCGATGAACAGGGTCTTCGCAGCGAACACCTCAATAATCGATCCTTTACCATAGGATTAAATGGCACAACAATTGATACATTGCAATTCATGCCACGCTACTGGTCGATGATACCAGCGAGGAAAATACGTTAAGCGGCCACAGGTAACTGTGCATGAATTCCTGGAGGCATCAATTTTTGTATTTGCGCAAGGCTCTTCAGAATAAATTGCCACGTGGTTCGGTTCGTTTTTATGACAAAGATGTAAATTTGAATTTTAATTCGGCAATTTTGGACCGTGAACTCGGTAGATCAGAGTTAAAATGACTTTTTCTCAGAAAGTCGTGTTTTAACTAGCCAACTGCATTTCGGCCAGGATGTTTTCGAGACGATCAATTGTCTTCGTGGTTTGAATATTTTTCGTGGAATGGAGGTGAACTTTGATAACGGACCTTACAGCCCGCAGTTCCGATTCCGAAGCTTTCAGTTTTCGCGATAGCTATCTGAAAATTCAGGTGTATAAAGAAAAGCAAGGTTCAAGGTAGATGCGAAAACACCAAATAAGTCCACACCAATAATAGCCTTTTAGCGGGCGAGAAGAGATAAATTAACGTCATGTCAGTTCGCCTTCAATTTTGAGTATAGGCAATACGAGCTCCCAGGTGGTCGAATAGTGGTATCACCGTAGATGTCAGGAACTCTTTCGTGGTCGAATATTCGTATTGTCGCAAGATACATTGTAAGTCAGGGGAGTTTCGTGGAGCGTCTCTCAATCCCGATCTAGCACGTCGCAAAATCTCAAAAGAGTTTCAAACATGTCCTCGGAAATAAAAAGCTATTATTTGTATAGGCTCCGACTAAGCGTGCCATTCCACGGTGATAGATGTAAAAAATATAAAAGATATAAAAATAGAATGTAAATTTTTTTCTTCTTGTCCAGAACGATAAAAAATGTGTTGCGTAAGGCGTATCCATTTGATTACGAGCAGTGGCGAAGCGGTTCGAGACGGAAAAAATCGCGTGATTAACGTTATCAACTCACCAGAGGCGCGACGCAAGCCCAACTATGTGAGAAAGCGATTATCTTATCAGGTTTTATAGTCGATACGCGATGAATCACCGTAGTGCCTTCCGGGTAAGCCCGAATTAGTCGCCAATCCCAAATTTTAGAAAGCCCTCAAGCTTAAAATATATCAGAGGAGGCTTTTGCGTAGAATTTTTTTTTCTTTGTAATATTTTATTCGCCCGGCGATTTTTACGATCATCGTAACAGAAATCGATCTGAATAGGAAATTTGAAGGGCAAGGAAAGACCTCTTAAGGTTCATTTCCGAGAGGAAGGTAAAGTTGCACTTTTTTAATGCATTTCAAGGAGCTGTAGCGACCCCGTCGAGCCTGTAAGATCCTCCTCCATGAGGGAAGCCGCGACTGTATCTTATACGGAACCGTTCAACTTTGTCGTTATTTAACTACATCCATCCTTTACATATCTATTTTTACACCTGACAATGACGGTTAAACTTTGAAATAACGTTAGTGTTTGTAATGTATTTTTAAATTAAGGCACGTAAATCTCTCTGGAAAAAAAAAACACATTGGATCTAGAGTCCAGACTCTTGAAAAAATTGACAAGAAAAAATACTCTTGATTCAATCGGATTTTTGCTTGAATCAAAACGAAATCCGCTTAAATTAAGAGGCTTGGTTCTTGATTTAAGCTAGATTCTGATTGAAGCAAGAGTACTTTTTCTTGTCGATGTTTTGAAGAGTCTGGACTCTCGATCCAATGTGCTTTTTTTCCAGTGCTACCTCGGAACCAAAAGAAAAGAAATACCTGTTGTTTTTTTTTTTTTTTAAATGAGCGGGAATTTTAAAGCTACGAATTCTAATGCTCTTATTTGATTCATGAGTTGGTTTTGAAAATATTCGGTATGTTGAGTGAACGTGTATTATGAGGATCGCGCCTGAGGGTTCTGGGTTATTCCACGCCAAACGGGGCCAAAATCGAGATTCTTTTAACTGGCCCCCTCAGAGTTCATTAAAACTTGGTATACTCATTCTTTGTTCTTAACATTCTTACTATTCTGCCGTGCTAAGGAAGAACGCCGTATGAACATCCTAGAGTCGCCAAATTTTTTTCGATAAAATGTTATGAATATTTTTCATTGAAAATTTCAGAAATCTTAGATCAAATTACAAAAAAAATTACCTGAGAAATCGGTCGGCAAATATTCAAAAAAATTCCTGAAAATTAGTGATTTGCCAGGAGAAATTTGGGAACGCCTGAAGGTTCACACGCCGTTCCTCCTTAGCACGGCAGTATTGTGTCTAAGCTTATGGTTGACTGATTGCAAAAATATACTAATTGGTTTGTTGTTTTGTGTTTTTTAGATTACCCATCGGCCGGCGGGATCTCAAACGGAAGCAGCGTGGGCGGAGGCGCCGGTTCGCCCCTGGGGACGCGGACAGGATCCCCGCCCGAGTCGGGGGTGGGCGCGGGAGCGCAGGGCCAAGGCGCCCAGAATCAGGGGCAGACCCCGGCCGGGCAAGGGGCGCAGCCCTGCAGCGGGAGCGCCCAGTCCCCGATGGCCGCCCTCATGTCCGTCACCGACACCCTCCCCCCTGGCTCCCCCCGCAGCGCCGGCGGCAGCCCCCCGGGGTCCGCCGGGCCCCGCTCCGCCTCAAGAGGATCGCAGCACTCCCCCAACTCCTCAGGTATGTACCCGTGTATGTCTACTTTCCTTCGACGTGATCAAAGCATGGTGCCCAGGAATAAAACCTAGATTCTTTAGGGAACGGGAAGTATCCGAGAATTTGTCGGGGGATAGCTGCCGAAAACCGGGAATGACTTCCGTTCCCGCTGCGACGTATGGCATTTGGGGTCCTTTAGAGTACCTGTATAGCGAGATAATAGACAGATATGAAACTCCGAAAATCCATCAGGCCTTCATCGATGCCTTCTCGAATAAAGTTAGGGCCCAGAAATGCAGCCAACCTATGAATTTCAATTATCCAGAGCGATTTATTAATAGAATTGTTACGAACCATCGTTTATAAAGCACGCACTTGACTTGGTTTTTGCATAAATTTACTCATTTTTGCGGAAGAACGCTCATTTATGTACATCCTTAGCCATCTTGGTTATAATTGGAATCTGCAGACTGGCAGTGAAATTTTGTGCGTTAGAAGTAGGTTAGGAGAGTGGCTCTACTTTTGGGTCCTAAGCCCTCCATGAAGCGATCTGTCCATACTCTCGCTGTACAGGTACTCTAGGATCCTCGGGAATTGGTAAAGCTGTTTTCTTCACTTGAGCCCTTCAAAAATATCGATTCTAAGTGAGGCAGCCTGCCTCGCCAAGAATCGATTCTTTTACATGCATTTTAATGGAGGAAAAACGGCGGTGCGAACTCACGTGGATTGCCTGCGAATCTTACCTCTCCACGACAGAACATGGTACCACCGTCCATAGGTAAAGGGGAGAGGGAACGGTGCGCCTCCGATGAGCTCAGTAAAAACTTCGAATTTGAGTTTTTTACCGAAAACCCCCTTACTTATAGGTAACCTCATAGATGAGATGCAAATGATTCGTTCCATTTTTGTGCCAACTCAGGGCAACAATCTTAAGCATAGAACTACTTAGATTCAAACTTTTAGCATTCGTAACTAAGTTTTTTGAACTGGAATTTTCAAAACATCTTACGCTGTTAGTTGGCACTATCGGTTGTTTTTCCCCGCCAAACTAATCTTGAACCATTCTCTTAACAGTGATACCAAGAATTTTATTTGAGTCTTTTCATACTGAGTTCCTATTACCTGTGGATAGTTTGCATTAGAGATACTTATCTCTCATTCGATACTTTCACTCGATAGTGATTAAATGAAAACCCCATTCCAGCTATCGTCATGATTATAATACTTACCAAACTCAGAACAATGTACGTAATGTAACTCTTGATAATGTGCTCGTAAATCGATTTCACAAGAAGCTGCACTATCTAAAATTGAAGAAGCAAAGAGAACCTTTACTCAGGCAGAATTGAAAGCATTTTTGGGGAGGATCATTGAAGAAAATGAGTTTTTCAATAGTCAATTGCAGTTCCTGCGTGAGATAGTTCATTCTAAAGGAGTCGAAGATTACTTTATACTTATGTTCCAATTCCAAGAATCTTATTTTGATCTGTTAACTCTCATTTTCACCCTTCACCACTATTATTTTCCGTAATCAATTTTTTTCTTGTGTTCATGTACATGACACAGCAAAGTCGTAAAATTTTTGCCCCTCTTATTTTTTCTTCCTCATTCTGATTTTATTTATTTTTTTTTCAAGCTTAAGTATCTCCTTTTTAACGGACTCGATTTTTGTTTCCTATCAGATGGCAATGGCAAGACATAACACTTAGGGACCTCTTTGACCATTAACAAAGGAGAGGAGTTAAATTATTGTTAATGCACCTCAAAAAGGTTAGTTCCCTGTAGAAAATGATGAAAAAAATGAAAAAAGCTCTGGGGAAAGGGATGTATGATGTTCTAAAATAAGTTTGGTTGAAGGGAAACAAAAATTTGCTTTTTACGTAACCTATTGTAAAATTATGATCATGGACTGTACCTCTCAATCTTTCTTTTTTTGAGTCCCTCATTTTCTGCATCATTCTATCTCATTGTCTTTTTCTCTCCAATTTTCTTTTTTCCTGGAACATTCACCCCTCTTTCTCCCTTTCTATTTTTACACAACTCAAAACGATCTATTAAAATAATTACGGTTTATCAAATGCTGTCTCTTAACAATTAACACTGGCTTTGTGATAATACTAGCTTGGGCACTGCTTTCCCACTTATTAACTTTAATTTAATCATGATGGACTTATATTTTCCTACTGAATGCCGAAATCTCTGCCTTGCATGCCAGAAAAAAAGCGTCATCTAAGTTGACTTTAGAAAAAGTTACTCCTGGCTGAAGAGAGATACTTTCTAATAGAATCTTCTCGATGAAAAAAGCAGAAAAAAAGGATGGGAGGATGAAAAAATAAGAACTATCGCTTAGAATCAAAAGGCAGGCTCCCATGGTTTACAATTAGATTTTTTATGTGTAAAAACTTAAAAGGCAGGCAAAATCAAACAGGTACATAAGTTGCAGCAAACATTTTAAAGAGGTCTGCTCAAAGCCTATCTCCCGCAGAAAAAGTGAAGAAAAGTCTCGTATGAAAGTTAAAATCCAAATGGAGATCCAAATCCAAATCAAATGGAGGTCTCTAATTTCTGTGTAAGATCACGTCAGCATATCGTTGCCAAGTACCCTAAAAAAATAAAATCTGATTTCTATCTCCCAGTTTCTTTCCCAATATCCTCGATGCCTCTTGCTGTAACTATTTCCTGACTTGCTTTTCCCAAGCTTAAGATTTGCACGTTCGGTAGGGGCTAATTTTTGCTCTTTTTGCCTAAATTGCTGGTCAATTAATGCTCCTCTGTCTAATGATCTTAATTTAATTCCTCTGTATATTTATAACGTATCTCAGAGCACTTAGAAGAAGTTAATGTACTTGAGTAAGATTAAACCTTATCCTTAAACCAAGTCCATAGTTGAAATTCCATTCCTATATCGCAAAATAGCCAGTAATTTGAAGCCGATTGCCATCTGAAACACTGAGGCTTTCCATTCTCCACGATGTTAACTTTTCGAGTGGCTGAGAGAATAAAAATTTTCAACCATTCTACCATGGGCCACATGTCCATTGTCCAGTGACCCATTGCTTACAAAATTCCCTTAATTTTCATGAAGCCAAGAATGGAATTAAGCTTAAATCATGTACAGCTATCCTTTGCGTCAAGCGACTTGGGATTTTTCTGGGTATCAATTGAAGCATTTATTACCTCTGTTTAGGTTCCTCGAGTGGAAGGCGATCGTCCGGCAGTCGGCACGTAAGCTCAACAACGGTCACCTCCAGCGAACTAGCAAATGCTGCAGCCAATGGAACGGAAGGTGCACCTCCAGCAGCGACCGGTGACATCACTGCAGCCCCAGGCACGACCCCCGCCCCTCCAGCCACAACCACCCTCAAGTGCACCCTCTGCCAGGAAAGGCTCGAAGACACTCATTTCGTTCAATGTCCCTCGGTCATCCATCACAAATTCTGCTTCCCCTGTTCGAGGGATAGCATCAAGCGGCAAGGAGCCGGAACTGAAGTAAGTTGCCTCGTCAGTTTTTTCCGATGACCTACTTTGCAGAATTGCCACAGTCAAGGAAAAGCGGAAAAAGTCAGGGATTTTTAAAAAGTCAAGGAAAATCGAGAAATGTCAGTGAAAATAACGAAAATGTCAGGGAAAATTTGTTAAATCACCTTCATTTGCTTTCATTTTGAGATTTTGAACAAGAAATTTTGCCTGAAAACTATTTTACTGACTTGACGTGAAAATAATAGATTAGTGATATGCTTCTTGCTGTCATACTACTAAGAAAAAAAATTCTTCCCCTAGCTCCTCGAGGGGTTTTCCTAGCTTTAAACGAGGGCCTCCCCCGGAAAATTTTAAAATCGTGATTCATCTCAGGAGCAATTTTGAGCTGTTCTCGCCGGAAAATCTATCCAATTACAATTTCCAAGATTGAAAAAATGTGGCGTACTCTGTTTGACCTCTTGGCCTCCGTTGTTTGAGGGTCACGTGAGTCATATGACTTGGGGTTGGGAGGCATCTGATTGTAGAAGGAATATACTTTTCGATCAGGTATAAGCCAAAATGAAGTAAATTCGATAAGAATTCAATACATCATGACTTATTGTGATTGGTGGCAACACTATTTGAAGTGTCCTTAAAATTTACCAGACTCCAAATGATTCACTGATGTTTCATTCAATTATTCTTTTTGTTTCAATTCAGGGTTTCTTGGTCTTTTCAGAATAACCTGATCACTCCTGATTTTATTATAAAGTATAAGACCTAGTGTTAACAAAATGTAATTTTCTCACCTTGATGATTTTTTCAATTGGAAACTAAGCATACTTTCTATACTTATAAAGTTTACATTACATTCCCCCTGCCATCAATATATAAAAAAACAGTTAATATAGTATAAGTATGTATGCTAAAAGTTACAGTGCAGAACACTTTGAATCTTTCGCTTTATTTTTTCATGTGCAAATTAAGCCTGCTGCATTTTTGAGTATTCAAACGTGTAATGGTAATTCTATTACTTGTATTGGAAGAACCAAAATCAAAATACCTCATTTCTCACATAGTAGACAATTTTGAATCCACTGTGGTTGATCGGTAACTTTTAGGATTAGTTTTCAATGAAACACCCGTATTCTGTTTTTCTTCCTTTTTTACTGATCAGTCCGTATTTTTGTTCACAGGTATATTGTCCCAGCGGTGAAAAGTGTCCTCTGGCAAATTCAAATGTCCCATGGGCGTTCATGCAGAATGAAATTGCAACTATCCTTGGCGAAGACCTGAAAGTGAAAAAAGAACGGGAGACCTAGGTCCATCCTGTAAACGTTCCATGCTGAAACATGGAATATTGGAGCAACTCTTTGCCGGAAATGGAGATTTGCCTATTTCCGTCCTGTGTATTCTTGTCGTGATGTCACAAGAGTACGATGTTGGTGCTATTTTGCTCGAAGGTTGACTGCTGTAGTCTACCGAGCAACATCCCTTTAAGAGGGGTAGTATTGTGCTGCATTCAGGATGTAGCGCCTTTTAACTCACTATCCTTGGAGGATAGATGATACCAGGAATCCGCAGTTCTGTGAGTTTTGTAGGGGTTGTCTCAGAGTGTTATCACCCGTTGACTCAGTCGAAAGACGTTAAAGCCACTCAAAGTTTACACAGTATCAATATTACATTTTAAATACTTGTATGTAAGTATGTATGTATCATTGTGTAATTGGATGTCTGTTGGAGGCTGAATTTTCTCTATTTATTTGTACATATCTCTTCTCCTCACCCTTTTGTGGTACTCCCTCGCCACTTTGATGGTCATTATGCCCTCAGTGGATTGTTAGATTCCTCGTCAATTTTGATCTTCTGAAGATCTTACATTTCCTCTGTTCTCGATTTAAGTCGTATTCCAGTTTTGCAGGCTCAGTGTTAATTATCGCCATGCAAAATTGTTGTTCGTGTACCACTGTTTGCAAGTGTCAATTGTACAGTTTTGTATATTATTGTTTAATTTAATTTTTTTTACACACTGTCTCCTTTTTTTTCTTTCTTCAATTGATCTCTATTCATCTCTGTTTAATACTTAATCATTCATTTTGAAGTGTCCAGAGCTTAGTTTTTTTAGTCTCCACTTCTCTTTTTCCAACTCTGCTCTATTATTGTTAAAATTCAGTGGTAGTCTCTCATTCATTAACTTATCCAGTGTTTTGCTAGTGTTTTTCAAGATCTAGGATTTGTTACATTTTGAATGCATTTTTGGGTGAGGACAACTACCTAAGCTGATACGGTTTTTCTGCGGTTCCATACAGTTCTCAGAAGGTGAAAGTTATTTTTGTTAGAATGTGTAAATAATGTTTGATGCACTGATAGTTCGAAAAAAAGAACATTAATCTGTACCACCCACCCAATGAATGAACTTACTTTAAAACTCAACTCAAATCTTCTCCCATGAATTGCAAATCAATGAAATAGTAATTGAAATAGTCATAGTAAGAAGTAAAATAGTTAGTAGTTAAGGCAGAAACTTCTTTGTACTTGTTTGAGCTTTCAGTTTTTTTAACGATTTTCCAAAAATTTGTTGTGGCATTTTACATCTGTAGTCCACAAAACTCACTAAATAACCATTTTTTCCTCATTAATTCCAACTAAAAGTTTCAACTTACTTTGAAAATCGGGTGCCTCTCAGACACAATTCATTTAACTTTTTCTCCCCTTGTATCATCAAAGAACAAAAAACCGTACCCTGAAATGTCACCACTGAATTGACCATAACCCCACCCTCTCCGCTAGCTTGCCCTTATACATATTTGTAGATTTTTGTACTTTCATGTTTGCATTAAGATAATTCAATCAAAATTAATTTTAAACAAAAAAAATGATTAGAGGTTTGTCTGGTCAGTTGTCCGAATTTAATTTTGTGATGATTCATTTATCATCATCGAGGATAAAACTAGAAGAACATATACTCTAATTGGGGTGGTGTGAAATGTTGCCTCTAATTCATGTTCTAAAGGCAAGCAAATCTTTCTGTATTGTTTCAAAAATTCACAGAATATTTCCTACAAAAATCAAGGAAAATTTTAAGGGATGATATTGTTTAGTTTTCCATTTGAAAAGTAAAGCAAGATAGGAGATTTGCCACCCTTGTAGTTGAAATTCACGTTCCTCTAGCTTCCTCATCATAATAGTCAAAACTTCCTAATTAGCATTGCCCATAGTTACTTGCTGTATCGTTTTCTCAGAAATGCATGTCTTTGCTCTCACCAACCCCTTGAAATCCAAACTAAGACATAATGTCTCCAGCTAACCTTAATAATAGCCTATACACACCATGATGTAATTAAGTCTATACCCAATTTCCTTCAGACTAGCCTTTTTACAGCCAAGAACACTGGTTTCGAAAGACTTCTATCTAAATATACACAATGAGTGTATCTCGACTGTATATTTAGAGAGTACCTAATTTACTCAGAAAAACCTTCAAATTTTTTTGTTACTTCTGTTGCAGTTAAAAGGTACTAAAATTTTTCATTCTGACTGGAGGAAGTTGTATTTACTTTTTGAGATGAGTGCTTTTGTGTACATATTTTTATGCTTTCTATGGTTCTCATAGGAAGGGAGTTGTGCTCCTTTTGCAGGCAGAACTATGGATTGCCGGTCTCGGTGATCCTGTCCTCCCGAGATGCAGTCGCTACTTCTCATGGGGTTCTGTCACAATCAAGTCTTAAATTCTTAATGGTTATGTCTGCTGAATTAAACAGTCTCCTTTTGCCGAGTTTAGACTTCTCAGGGTTTTAATTAGATTTTATTTAATTTTTCGTTATTCATTCTCGCCCGAACCGAGCAGTGCACTCTCCTCCCTTGTGTTTCTCTCCTCCAACAATGAGCAATGTGTAACTTTTTTTGCCAGTTGTGTTACGTTAGTGTATGTACCTTTTAATCACTGTTTTCTGCGTAATGATTGTTACCATTTGACTTTTTATAAACTCCTTGTAAATGTGAACCTCCTGTATTGGACTTCACTTTCAGACTCAGTGGTTAATTTAAAAAAAATTAGTCACTCTGCTCCATATCTTAAGGAGAATCTATTTTTTTCTTCCGAGAACGAGTGTAATATGACCAAAATGGAATGAGACTTACGTTCACCAAACCATGAAACAAAAAGTACAGATATCAGACTTAGTTTGCTAAAATACTGATTTATTTTAAATTTTAAGCATGAGACAGGTTTATAAGTCTGAGAGATCATGCCAGTATTTATATCCCTACAATCTCTTTCTGAAACCCGACTCTGAAGCCAAAATTGAGGTGTCAATATTGCATCTTATAAAGTGATATTGAGCAATGAATTCAATGTCCAACTATACCTTGCTTTAATTTTCAGGTTTTCAAAAGAATCACTCAAGGATCTATTGTTTGCCTAAAACCTACATTTTTGCAGGAGCACAATCAGTATTTAAGCAATCTGCGTTTGATCTCTAGCTTTAAAAATTAAAATCATCCTTCTCGATGTAAAACACAACTAATCAGACAATTTTTTGTTGTTTTTATCATGAAGGTTATCGTTCCAAGTTATGAGAAAAGGAAGCTTCGTAAAGTCCTTGAAACATTAATTTCAGCAATAAATATCATCCTTGTAAAGATAATTTGATCAAACATTCTCTGTAATTAGATGCAAGTTTTAAGTAAGACAGAATCATAGATGTTGTTAGAAGAAAACTGTTGGATAATATGTATGTATGTTGTGGACTTTTCGTCAATATCCTCACGCATTTATTGGAGTTGCTATTTCTTCAAACCATCAGCATTGAAATATTGAGGACTTTTTGAGTTTCTGCATTTTGGTCGGAAAAATAAGAAAATATTTATTGAATCTCCTCAGCTTTTCAAAAACTCTCGGATTTGAGTGATACTTGCGAATATTGTTTTTTCTTTTTTTTTGAATGCCCATTTTGTACTGAATGAACATTTTTTTAGGGTGAAAAATATTTCTATTGTACATACTTATCTTTTATTTACTGTTTCTATACATTTTTATTTTGTACTATATCTTTTAGTAACATGTAAGAACCTAGTCACTGGACAAAATCGTATTAAATTTGTCTCAAAATATTTAAAAAGATTTTCAAATGAAAAGAAAAGGAACTCGCAGACTCGCTGATGTGTTTAGAGGAATTCAACTAAAAATATCTACTCATTGCTATTTATGCGGTTAATATTACAAAATAAGAATGGGTTTTTTTCTGTTATGTATTTATTGAAATTTTGTATCATATTGAGTAGAAAGAAGAAGAAAATTGGAGGATTGTGTTATAATAGTGTTTCAAATTGAAAAGCAAACATGAAATAATGTTGGAAAATAATAAATTAGCTCTCACGTTTATTTAATGATTTTATTTTTTTCACTGGTCTCCCTCTCTTCCTTACGATAGCTATAATTCAATCATGAAAGGCAAAAATGAGTGTTTTAATATTTGTACTGCCTTTCTCCAAGAACGTCAGTGAAGTTGATTATGTTCAAGAGAAAATTTCTACCCCCCCCCCCTTCCTATAAGGATAACAAATCGAAGCTAGAGTGCTGGTAATAGCATGTTTTTCCCATTTCTTATGGGGCTAATAAAGGCAAATTTGTTCAGTTCACTTATTTTCAATTGAAGAAATTTCATGAACGTTTGAATCAAGGTGTAACTCTCCTGCTCCTAACAACTCAATTGCCTAGGTCTTTGAAAAGTTAACAACTTGACTGATTAATGTTTTCAATTTTAAGTCACCATTAAAAATCTGCAGTAACCAGATTGAACTTAAAGCTTTCTCTGATTGCCTAGGATATCTTAGACAGTTCATGTCCAGCTCTTTAATAATTGATCTTTTCATATCCATCAAGTCATTAGCCTGCATTACATCAAAAATCCTCAAATAAAAAGGTAAACAAATAAATCAAAAGAAATAAAATAAATTAATGATTATAGGGCTCCAGGAGAGGTAATGAAAAAACGCTCGCAGTGCGAAGAAGAGTTTGCAACGAAATTTTAAGGCTACCTGATAAAATCAGAAATGAAGTATATTATTCTAACCGAACTTAATATGCATTCACAAGTGTAGAATCTCCCAACTTCTTGTCTCCATGAGCGCAGCCCTGCACCCTTGAAGATTTGAAAGGGGAATGAGAATTAACTGTTTGGCAAACCTGGTTAACAAATGGCCTAAGTGGTCGTAGTAAAGATGGTTTTGTAATTGATTGACTCAAAGGAATGTGGATTTCATGATTTTGGAACTTTTAATGTCATATACACAATCTACAGTAATGAGGAGAAAAAAATCTGGCGCGAGTGAAACTGCCCTGTAGAAAATCTGGATATAGTGGAGTGATTTCCACATCGGGGCAAGGGATAGCCTGAGTACTTAACCTTTCGTAAGTCAAGTACTGCAATCATAACCATCTTTGCTCAGAGACCTACCCATATTCCTGATCAAGTTTCATTGAAATATTTTTGTTACATTAAGAAACATTTTTTGAAGTTGAATTTTGAGGATTCTAACATGAACCTAGTACTTAAACACATCAATTGCTTTGCATTTCACATAATATGTTAATTATCCTGAGTGCTGCATCAGACCTCAAACTACTTAATTAGAAGAATTTATCCAATGAGAAGAACCTTCAGTTATCCAATGATTCTGGTTCCACAGGGAAACTAATAGAAACGCTCTTACTCGTGTCAAATGTTTTACCCCCCAGAGGTAAAAACAGTCGGCTCAAGTCCGAGGCACAAAAATGCATTATTCTATAGAAACACTCTGTTTTCAGTCCAGTCTTTAATAGGAGTCTAATCGTTCATTCTCGAAGTTCGTGCTGAAATCAGCCAATTTCATAGGCTCGGAAAAGTCAGGGCATTAGAATATTTTGGAGTCAGGGAAAAGCAAAAAAAGTTTGGGAATCTGAAGGTGAAGAAATTATGACAACCCTGGTGTATTGCACTAAAAGTTTTATTAAGCTCTTGGCCATCAATGCATTTTATTCTTAGCCAGGAGGATCATCAGAATAAACCTCTCCATTTTCTCATTTACACTTACAGAGACTCTGGACCAACCTAATCATGGTTTCGTCGATGAAAATCTAGAATGGAAAACTGTTGACTGATGGACGTCCACATTCTTTAAAACTGAGTTATTCCCTCCACCAGTAACATTTTGTTTATTTTAATGCATCAAAATCAATCATCAAAAATCGTCTAGCTGGTAAGTATATACTATAAAATTTCCTATTTCATTCGGCCCTGGTAAAAATTGGCGATACGATCTGCGTTTCAAAATACCATAGGAGTAGGAAGCGGAGCAAATCATATGGCCGGGCTATACGAAGCTATAAAAAAGTATACTGTCGGGCTATAGTTCCTATCGCCGGGCTTTACACTTTATCGCCATTGGCTATAAAAGGCTATAAGAAATTGTGTAGAAATTCGCGTGCTTTGAAAATCATCAAGTTTGATACGAAACTACCTTAATATTTACAAAACACACATTATATTTTCCTTCAAAACATATTGTTTTTTCATCAATTAAATGAGATGGTCCATACAGAGTGTGCAAACATTTCAAAATCATGAGTTGAAANGAGTTCTTATAGCCGACTAAAGAAGGCTATTGAAAATCATATAGCTGGCTGTAGGAAGCGGAGCAAATCATATGGCCGGGCTATACGAAGCTATAAAAAAGTATACAGTCGGGCTATAGTTCCTATCGCCGGGCTTTACACTTTATCGCCATTGGCTATAAAAGGCTATAAGAAATTGTGTAGAAATTCGCGTGCTTTGAAAATCATCAAGTTTGATACGAAACTACCTTAATATTTACAAAACACACATTAGGTATATTTTCTTTCAAAACATATTGTTTTTTCATCAATTAAAATGAGATGGTCCATACAGAGTGTGCAAACATTTCAAAATCATGAGTTGAAAAACGCTGACTCCGCGAGATTAAATATTAGAGCCTAACACAAAGCGTAGCGGCGACGCATTGGCGCCTGCAAACCTAACAGGGATACTTCACGCATTGCGCGGCGACGCACTGGCGCCTACAAACCTAACAGGGATACTTCACGCATTGCGAAATGCAGCGTGCCACGGCGTCTGAAGCAACTATTTCACACCAGAGGTATTGCACAGTATCATAAGAAATTGAAGGCGCTCCAACATATTAAGAATGACAGGCATCCTTCAAAAGTACGGAGCTTTCCTCGCAAAATAAATCAAGATACTACGGCACAAAAAGAGAGCGGTTGTCCAAAAACTAAGTAAGTCCTAGTATCCGTATTTAGTAACGTTTAGCATACACTTTATCGTCTGACTGTTACTTAATCGCCATCGGCTATAAAAGGTTATACGAAATTGTACAGCCGGCTACAGAAGCTATTGGAAATCTTACAGCCGGCTTTAGGTCAATAGTATTTTGGAACACACATTCTACTGCCAATTTTTATCAGGGGGAGTAGAGTGTCCAGATCTTTGTACTCAATATGAAATAAATAACTCGTCCAAAAAAAGAAGAATCAACGAACGTATAAAACTTGGTGAGTATGGGGTTTTCATTAACTAATCCGTCTTAATTTCATTTCTTCGGTAGGTATTTGCAAGATATGGACCTGAATCATGGATCTTGCTTGAATATTTGAACACCTATGCCTCTGCTATGATTCTCATGCAGATAGCCCTCGCTTTTGGCCATGGACTTGGACGTATCGTCGCTCCTCTGACGTAAGGGCGTATCTCAAATTCTACGTGAGCCCTGTTTTACGTATAGATGCATGCTTTCTAAGGCTCGTGCAATAATAGAGATTCGCCCTTACGTTAGAGGAGCGACGATGTGTGAGGATGCGACTATTACGACCTCCATGTACCCGCTTCTGCCTATCTCGCGAGATGAAGGCGAAATACAAATTCATGACTTTTTGGTCACTCTATTTTTTCGCACTGTACTACTGGGCACTAAACAGTGGCGTAGCTAGGAATTCTTTTAGGGGGAGAGGGGGGGGGGTCCTTTCAAAAACGTGACGGTAAATTTACATTATTTTGCACACGTCCCTGATAATATTTTATGTCTGCCCTCTAAAAGTAAAAGAAAAGGTAAAATTAACAAGGCCAAAGGGGGGGGGGGTCCAGAGGGGTCTGAGCCCCCCTTAGTCTCGTTAAATGTACCAGACTCCTCTAGTCTACACCACTGGCACTAAAAACTTGGCACTCGGGCCGAAGTCCTTTCCTCCAATCAATTTTGATTACCTCCACGCATCTTGTTGAGATTTGTTTCCGTTGATTTTTCGCCCTTTTATGCACCTTGGACAGTGGATAAGACTGAAAATTTTGTAGCTACGTTCGTCGTCGAAGACGTGTCTCGGTCGCTCGAGCATGGAAATTCGGTCTGGATGAAAGGAGCTACAGCGTGGCGGGGGCGGAGGCGGG